TTTCAGATCACACCCAGTCCTTAAGCAGCACTACCCAAAACTAGCCTGAGAACATGGAGTCAATCCGGGGTCAGGTTCTCCTTCGCTAGCTGTCAGCTGGAATTCTGGGCCTGGATGTGAGGTCTTCTGATCCTTTCCCACCTCCCTACCCCTTTTTCCTGGTCACACAAGTATTGGGAAGTCACCCTTCAAGTTCTAATAGTTATATAAAGCACGTACTATCTGGCTGAACTACAGATTTGGGTTCCAAAGGTTTGGGATAAGGTCAGAGATTCTGCACTCCCTGCAAGCCCTCCCCGCAAACCCTAGAAGACGCTGCTGGTCCACGGCAAAGCAAGGTGGAAGTGAGACTAAGCTATTTGGTGTCCTGCAAATCGGGCAGAGCCGTGCCTCTCTTGTCTGCAGCAGAGGGTCTCCACCCTGAACATCAGATTCACTCTAAGAGCCTCAATCCAGTCAAGTATGCTCTAGGCCAAATGGTGGCTGGGGGGACCCGTTCACTAGGAGTTAAACATTTTCCCAGGTGATCCCAGGGTTGAACCCCCGCTCTCCAGTGCTTGATGGACAGGGCAGGGACGCTCAGATCTATGCAGGAGGCTTCTGCAGCAGGCTGCTCCCAAAGGAATCACGGCACTCCCAGTCCACTGCTAGCCTTTCTAGCTTCATCACCCTTTTAACACCTTGTTCTATAACAAACAAAAATTAACACCAAACTTACATGCTTATGATTTCCAAAATCTCCAAACCTGGACTTCTTGCCAGCCCTAATCTTATCAGCGCAATTCTCAGAGCACTGGGGAAGATGGTCAGTGGGCGTGAATGCGCAGTGGAGTCTGGCTCTCCTTTTCCCAGGATAAACTCCCCTGGACACGGGGACCCAGGCTTGTTTTCCTGTCCCTAGTTACGCTCCTAATGGAGGCTTGCTTCACTTCCTTCTCCTTGCGCATCACAGAGAATCTGCTGTCCTAGCATTTCCGAGGCACAGGACCTTCTGGCCACTGGGCTTCCTGATGTGCCTGGGAAGGCTCAGACAGACCCTGAGTCTTCCATGTCAAACTCTAACGGGCGCAACCTGGACCATCCCTGTACTCTTGACAGTACTGTGGCACCACACAAAAGGCTCCTGTTAGGCTTGGGCCCCTTCACTACCCTTGTCATGTTTCCTTTTTAAGAAAAAACAAACAAAAAACAAAAACCAATCTCTTCCTCCAGCCGACTATCCTTATGGAGTCTGTGGCTATGGGGTTTTAAACCAGTGCCTCAAAGACGATTATCTGGTCGCTTGCCCAGCCTCTTCTCATGCCTCACACAACCAGGTGGACTTATTTTTAAAGAAATCTCATCACCTCTACTTTTCGCTGCTTCTCCCTTTGCTGAACACCTTCCTCGGGAGCTAGCTTAGTGAGACCCCATCATGTTTCTGACATTGTGGAAAGATCTCCTGGCCCCCCAAAGCTGCAAGGTGTCTTGTCAGGAAGGTGAAGATGATGCATTTGGCTGAGGGCTAGCAAGTAAGTACTCTGCAACCACAAACCGTTTCTCTGCTGTTCATCCACTGTCCTGCTTCCAGCCTGAAGCCTAGATTCCCCTGCACAGATCTTCTCCTACCTACTCAGCTTTTTCTTCCCTTGCGCATGCCCAGGACCACAGTGCCGTCTTGTTCCTGGTGCGCAGACACTCCTTCCTACACCTGGCTCCAGAGTCCTGATCCACGGTTGTTCATCCAGCGAGCCAGGGGATGTCTCAAGATACACTTATTTTGTACTTTACAGGCTTACAACAGACTAATACAGTTGTTTATATGTGAAGTTCAATCCTGCCATTGTGTGCTGGCTACCTACTGTGTGCCAGACAAGATGCATATTTTATTTTGCATTTCCATTTCATTCTTATTAACACCCTGAGGAGGATTACCCCTATCTCACAACCCAAAACACCAAAGCTAGAGGGATTTACTATGTCGCCCTAGTGTGCTTCACACTCGACCCTGAGAAGCCTGTCTTTATTCAAGTGAAAAAGGTGCAAATAGAACAAACTCTGATACCGGCCTAAGCCCTGGAAGTAGGAAAGAAGGCCACAGTAGAGGTACAAACTCCTTTGGATGTGTTATATCTACTTCCAACCCAGGAGCACCCACAGGCCCCTGGGAAGCCACCTTTAATCTTCAAATTCTAAACTACGGAGTTCAGGGATTCTGACTCACCCTTCTCAAAGCCCACTGGGGAAAAGAAAGGCAAGCAGAGAAGCAAAAGGGAAAACACAGATAAGTACTCTCCCTCCCGTGTCCACCACCCTCATAGGATGGTACCAAGCAGCCATCAGCAGACAGCATAAAAGAAACCCCAAAGGCAGCTGGGAGAGTGGAGTCAGGATGGAGTTAAGGAAGGATGCCCAGACTACTAGAAACGCAGGGACACAGATGAAAGCAGATGCTAAGACTTCTAAGGCTCTGGGAATGGAGTACCCCACCACACCCAAAGAGTCAGGCCAAAAGAAAAAAAGACCTCCCAGTCCCGGTCCTGGGACACTCCGCCCCCCCCCCCTTAAGCATTTCGAAGATCTAATGATTAAGATCACTTCAGTCCCCTGGGGCAGTTAAATGCGCAGCTGAAGCGGAGTCTCTCAGGCTCAGGCGCATCGCATCTCGGGCTGCAGGCTGAGAATGTGCCCGAGACAAGCCCCTTAGATGGAGTGTTGTCCAGACAGCCATTCTCAGGCTCTCAAGCCTTGTAGGAGCAGGGTGAGAAGGAGAGGCATGAGTTACCATTTTGTCTTTTTTTTTTTTCTTAAACCAAGCAAAGACAGCAAAAACAAACGTCTTTCTTCAAAGTTTAAATATCAAAGGGAAGCTACCCACCTCTGGAGCACTGCTCATTAAAAAAAATTAAAGGTTAGGATCATCAAGATTGGGGGGGGGGGTGTAAAGGTGTCAGCTGCAAAGCATGGGGACCCGACTTTGAATTTCAGGACCCACACAGTAGAAGGAAGAAACCTAGCTCTCGAGTTGTCCTCTGACTTCCACGTATGCGCCACGGTGCAGAAACACACGCAAATAAACAATGAAATAATCAACTCTAAAAAAAAACTCATTCCACCGTCACCGCGCTACGTTATTTCTCTGGAAACTGGAGCCGGCCCCAGTCCACAGACCTACATATAGACCTTCTGTCCTCGGGTATCACAGGCTGTCCAGCTACATTTCTACCTGACCCCAGGGGCCTAGGGGAGCCGCCAACCACACACGGCAAGGTCTGCCGGGTGCACAGACTTCTCAGGGCTGTCTCTAAGACTCCTCCACCCCAGGTCCGCGGGATCTTTACCATGACCACCCGGCAGCCTGGCCAGCAGCCTGGCCAGCAGCTTACACAAGAAGATGACAGCCCTGGCCGTATTCCCAGCCCCCTTCATTCAGGTATGCCCCACTGTGGCCAAGACCGGCACTTAACGCCATCCATAAGGGCCACCAAGAATATCTAGCGCACCGAGTTGGGCATCTTTACCCGAGTCTGTCAGAGGAGTGGAGAGAGATACGGGGACAGAAGAAGGAAGTGCCCCGTTAGAAAGAAGGAAATGATGGGATCCAGCCACACCACATGCAGTTCTCACAACCTAATGCCAGCTTATATCTCCCCCAGCCTCTAGGAAAGGACCTGGAGGGCACAAGGTGAGCAGCATGAAAACTGTCCAATACCAGCAGTATAGAAGGACGGGACACTACTGCCCCAAGGCTGGGGGGAGGGGAGCTACAGAGCTGATCCAGATGTCCGCAGAGACTGTTGTGCCTGAGCCATGACTTAGGGTATGTAGCAAGTGGGCAAAGGGAGTGAAGGAACAGAACCCCTGCCCCCAGCACTTGGATCTTTCTTCCTGGCCAAAGCCCTAATAGCTTGAGGCACGCACAGCTCCATGTTCAGCAGTCAGAGAAATCCCAAGTGTGGCGGCATACCAGCCCAGCCACAGGTGACCTTGTGACCAGAGCACAGCAGCTCCTGGACCAGCGGAGGGGGCTTTGGAGGTCAACAAGGACAACTTGATTTTCCCAAAAGACAGGCCCAGAGGGGCAGAATAGTCTCGGCTATTGGACAAATTAGTGGCACGGCTGGGAGCCCTGCAGACTGCGTAGGCCTCTGTCTCTGTCCAGCGCCGGTTCCGCTGCCTGGAGCAACTTCAGCGGCTGCACGCTCCGCCTAAAATCTGTTCTGTTGGTCAGTCCCTACTTTCACCAACTGTCTGCTGTCATAGCTGCCACCAACTTAATGTGGAGTGTTCATCACCATAGTAGAAAGGAAAGAAGCCCAATACAGGGCCACTGCCCCTCCAGCCCTCCCCCACACACACACCCATTCCGGCTGCTCTCAGCCCAAGTCTTCCCCTGATCTTCTACCCTGAACACAGGGAGTCCTTGAGAATATCTCAAAAGCACATCATTCATTCATAAATTGGCATCCAGTACCCACTACTATGCCAAAAAGTCTTTGGCCCCAGAAAGTATCCCATATCATTGAGAAGCCCAATCAGGCATCTCTCACTAAATTCCCTGTTTAAGAAAAACAAGAACCCAAGGAAAGGTTTAGGGGAGAAATACCCCTGCTCCATCAGGACAGCACCAAAGCCGACCAGTCATCCGGAACTTTCACTCTCAGCTCATCCACCTCCATCTCCAGCGCCTCACTGCCACCACAGCTGTCCACATCACCCACCTAAAGTCCACCCGAGGCGTCCAGCTCAAGCTAGACATCGCTGTCCTGCATCAACCATAAACACCCAGGAGGAGGAGGAGGTTGGCTCTCCATGCTCTGCAAGGGACTGAGTTACTCTCATACAAACCATCAGCCTGAAAAAGGAACCCACTGGGCTTCCAACAGCAGGCTAGGCTCCAAAGGAGACCAAGGGACCAGAAATGGAAGGGCAGGCATAACTGGATGAGCCTTTTTAACCAGACCCTCGTGATGACAACGCCCTCAAGGAAGGGATGGGGAGCCTAGCAGAGGCCCGCTTACCTCTTTAAGAAGCCCCACTTTTTTCTTCAGCACCTCACACTTGCGAAGTTTGCAGATCTGGTGCGTGCGGCGATTGGTGCAGCTAGTGCAAGACCCACAGTTTTCCAGCCGCCGGCAGGGCTCACAGGTCCCACACCTTTTTCTTTTCTTTCGCCCATCTCCACCCCCTCGCAGTTGGGTCTCACTCCCAGCCATAGGAAGCCCAGGCCCCTGGAAGCCCCCTACCATCACCTGGCCCTGCGGGAAATCATAAAGGCCTGGGAGGTCCGACTGGACCGCCAAGGGCACCTGAAACTGGCTCATGATGCTGAGGTTGCCAGGGAAGGGAGCATAGGTGCTGGGTTAAACTACTGTCCAGTCTCCTGATGCCAGCAAATGCCACCAACAGGTCGTTCTCTCCTAAACAAGTCTACAAGGGTGACGGCAAGAAGCTTCGGCCTCTGGAATGAGTGTCTCTTCTTGAACCCTCTTCACCTCCGCTGCAGCCGGCTGCCAGGGCTCCTTCCAGGACCAGTCTCCCACCTGCAGGGCCCCCGGATCAGGGACAAGACAGTAGCAGCAGCAGCCCCCAGGAAAGGTTTCATCTTGGCTGGGTGGGTTCTTCACCCTCACCCACCCGGGGCTCAGGCATGAGGCGAGCCAATGGGTGTGTGGTGGGGCAGATTAGGGTGAGGAGTTTCCTCCTGACAGGTCTCCCTCCCTGGGTCAGGATGGTGGAGAAGGCTACGCTGCCTGGGGGTGGAAAAGACACAGAAAGGGGAAGCACATCACTCGGGGCTCAGGGACAACTTTCACGTGTTATCTCTTCCTGCTTCTGGGAAGAGAGAAAATGGGGGAAGCCAGAGTCTGAGTCAAACGAAGTCCTTAGAGCCTCAGATGGAGGCACAGGGAACTAGTTGGGGGTAGGGAGGCATTCAAGGGGATGAGGGGTGCTAAAGGTGGGATTTCTGAGAAAGTTGCTCTGTGCACCCCCAAACATACATCTTCCACTGGCTTGTGAGTTTCATTAAAATCCAAGCGAAGTCCCTTACTGGGGGGCCACAGGACCTTCCCCGAGGTAACAGAGCTTACAAAATAAAGTTTGCAGAGGTTCGTTCATTAGAGTGGATGGCACCCCAAGTACCTAGGCGGCCTGGAGGTGGGGGGCGCGCCCGTGGGGAGTCCCAAGTCGGCCACTTCGCCAAGCCCCCAAGAGCGGGAGCCCCGAGGGCCACAGAGGAAAGCGACCCGCGCCACCGAGGGGCGCGCGGAGGGGGCGCGCTGGGGCGCAGGCCAGGCTGCGCGCGCCGCCGCCGCCACTGCTCCGGCTCCTTTGTTCTGGGGCCTCGGCCGCTCAGCTCCCGCTGCACCGCAGCCCCCGCCCCGCCACCCCCACCCGGCAGCAGCGCACGGCCACCCGGAGCTCCCTGCCGGGTCTCCGGCTACCCTGCTGCGCCCACCCCGGCCTTGCCACGGTCCCCGCGCCGCCCCTCCCCCCACGCGCTGCCCCTCCCCCACCGCGGAGCCGGAAAGCCACCGGCTGCACCGACCTGCCCGCCGCCTCCGGGGCGGAGCGCACAAAGGGGCAAAGTTTCCCAGCCTGCCGCTGCCGCTGCCACCGCCGCCACCGCCACGGCCCAAGGTGTGCGCCTCCAGGAGCGGAGCGCCTAGCCCGGCCAAGCTCGCTGCGCGCGCGGAGTCCCCCCGCCCCAGTCCTGGCCGAGCACGGGACGGCACAGGAGGAAGGAAGAGGCAGCGGCGGCGGCCGCGGCGGCGGCAGCAGCAGCAATGAAGGCGGCCGCGGGACTCCCCGCCCCCCGCGCGCCGCGGCACGTGCTCGCCCGGGGACTCCCCCGCCCGGGAGGGCGCGCACGTGCGGTCCCGCCGAGGCTGGCCGCTAGGCCCGGGACCGCGCAAGAGCGGAGTTCCCGGGTAGGGAGCGATGCGCGCGCGGGCTGGCCGGGCTTTGCACCTGCAGCGCCTCCTTGGGCCTCGCGGAGGGGCCCTCCGGAGAAGCGGCTGTCCCCGCGGGCTGGCCCGTCCCTGCCCTCCGGCGGGGCCCGAAGCCCAAGCTGTCGAGGCGGGGCGGGGCGGGGCGCGGACCTCCCCAGCTAGGCCCTTGGCCCAGCTGCCTGGGTGTCCCCACTTCCTGCCACTCCCTGCGTGCTCGGGACGGCCCCACGCTCGCAGCCCCGAGCCCAACCGACTCCCTTTCTCCTCCTTGGCTGCTGCTCGCTCAGGCCGAGGCAGGACAATAGGGGACATTGCGCGTTTGCATACCGAGTCAGCCTAGCCGGCAAGAAGTGGGTGCCCGAAGGCAGAGATCGAGTGCCCGCTGCATGGCATCCGCGTGAGGGTCACAGCCAAGCGCCCTGCCCCGGACGACCCCAGGGCTCTGCCATCGCCAGCCTTCCTGACGCGGCGTTCAGGCTCTTTAGCGTCTAAAACAAAGACTAATTCGAGACAAGCCCCCCGCCCTCCTTGATTCCCAGAGTAGAGGGACGGGGCACATAGCGGAGAGGAACCCAGACTGACTCCGAAGGGGTCCAAGTCACCACTGAGGCCTAAACCTCGCAGACACTTTGAAAAAGTCACTCTGGGTAATATTCCAGGCAGGGGGTAAGGGGCAAGACACAAGAGTATTTCCAACTTGCCAAACTGCCCATTTCTCTCGCTGCTTTCCCTACCACCCCGCACCTGTTGTTACTGGCCAAGTTGAAATTCCAGGTTAGATTAACTCAGCTCCACCCATCTGGTCTGACTGCCAGGCTAGAGTGCCCACAACTGCCTTCCACCTACCCGGGTTGCTTTGGAGAAGGGTAGGTCTGTACCCTCCCTACGCACGGGCAAGTCCTGGCAGAAACAGCCACGGGGTGGACTAGCCTGACCAGTTTGGGCGGTGCTCACCCAGCCAGGTACCTGGCATGCGTCCTGGCTGAAGCTAGCAACTCAGCCAGAACTGTAAAAAGAGCATTCGGCCGCCTATTTGTATGTGTTGGGGGGGGGAGGGGGGTGAGGCGCGGGTAACTGATCTCAAACAGCGCCTGCTGTCCAGAAAGCTCTAGGCAGTTAGTTGAAACAGCCAGAGTTGTCTGGGACTTCCCTCTGGCACGTCTGATACTCGACAACCTGTGCCATAGGCCAGCTTGTCAGTTGGGTGGGTGGTGAACATGTCTGCAACATTTACTTCCTACTATGGCCTTTGGAAGGACTCAAGAGTTTCTGCTTCGGGGAAGTTGAGAGTAGCTACAGACGACAATATGGAGAAGTTGTGGTCTTGGCACATAGGCACACAAATACTCGCGTGCACACTTACAGGCATGTACACGCAGCAAAAAATAGGTGCCTGTTTGAACATGTTTAATGTCTCTTAAGTGGTTACACTCATGCTGGTTATGCGACTCACCCGCCTCCTTTCACTAGCCTATTTGGTAGATGGACTGGATGTGAGTGAAGTGAAGAAAATAGCTTAGGATCAAAGAATTGTGGCCTCCAGCTCTGATTCTGCCATTGACCAGTGACGCAACCTTGAACTGGGTACACACCATCTTCTCAAGAGACTCCAAATAAAGTACTTATTATAGGGTTCACTGAGTGACAAATTATTCTTTTGGGGTTTCTTGTTTGTTTTTTAAGACAGTTTCTCTGGAACTCACTTTGTAGACCGGGCTGGCCTCAAACGGAAAGATCGGCCTGCCCCTGCCTCCTGAGTGCTGGGATTAAAGGTGAACACCACCACACCTGGCTCCACAAATGATTTTGTTTTGTTTTGGTTTCTCTGTATAGCTTTGGAGCCTGTCCTGGACTCACTCTGTAGACCAGGCTGGTCTTGAACTCTCAGAGATCTTCGTGCCTCTCTCCCAAAGTGCTGGGATTAAAGAAGTGTGCCACCACCACCTCGCACCACCTTTGGCTTAGATAACCTGATGGAGTGATGGTGTGTGTTCACCAGGACAGAATACAGGGATGCCTGTGGCCAGCCATGTGGAGTGAGCAGATGAGGCCTGGTGGTCCAGTTCATAAGCAGGTCTCGGGTGTGAAAGAGCTCAGGGCTGGGGAGAATGAGAGAAAAGAGGTCTCAGAATGAGCCTTGGGGCACATCAGCCCAAGAGCAGTCAAAATGGGTGGCAAAGATTGAGCCACCTGAAAGGAAGGGACCATGCCTGGCAGAAGAGCTACCTAGCAAGCCGTCCCAACCACTCCTCTTTCTGGAACTTTAAATCTTATTTCTTCTGAGGCTTTGCCCCTGCTGCCCTGCTTCAAGTATTCCTTTCCCACAGAGAAATAAAGGTTTACCCCTCCATCCTAAGGTCCCAACAATGAACCAAAGTACGGTTCCACCAAGGTTTACACTGGGAACCCATGAGTATATTGGACTTACAGAATGTTGTTGAGGGGTTTCTGGAAGGAACATGGGTGACCCCAAAGCAGCAGCTGGACTTCACTCAGCAGGAATGACTCCTGAAACAGTCGAGTAGATGAAGACCCTCTGTTAACGTTACCAATTTATATACTCTAGCACCTCCCACTTGCAATTAGGGCAGAACTGAGTACAATTGGCTGGGAGGAGGGGCTTGAAGCTTGGGTGAGGGGCCAAGAACTCCCAACCCCAACTTCTATGAGGAAATGTCAACATTCAACACGCTGAATCTTGATGGGTTCTTGCAAACAGGCCCAGCTCATCTGGTGCAAGTGGTCACTTTCTACTCAGAGGACTGAGATCAACAGCAAACCTCCACCTTCTAGATTCTTGAAAACCCTTCAGGGCTGGTCATAAATGCCAATTCTTCCAAGAAGGTTTCAATAACTCGGATGCCAGGGTTCCTTCCCACCCTTCATCCACCCACCCTTCAGAGAACAGTTATTCATGTTATAACTGTCTGCATATTTCCTTTCTCACCACCAGGCCAGCTCTGAAGGGCCAGGACCACACTGTTCTTTCTCCTTTGTCACCTCAGACCTAGCACCAGATCAGTGTGTGTTGAAGGAAGAAGAAACAGGTCAATTGTGCCAACCAATGAAGTATCCCGAAACCACTAGGACCCATAGTCTTCCCAGTTTCTTCCCTGACTAGTGTCCAGCCTACCAAATCCTTCAGGGGTGCCTCAAATGAAGTACAAAATGCTCAGGTCTCTGCCTTGGGGTTTCCAGCCTTCTGTGCTGTGGCTTTATTCCCATGCTGGCTCAGGCCAGATGAGCAGCTGAGGAAGGGTGAGCAAGAACCACAGCTCTGTGCAGGGCTTCAAGATAACTGCAGTCCAGGAGCTGCAGTATCGCTGACATTGAGAAGTTACGATCCAGGTCACCTGAACCTGCTCCATCAGAAACCCTTCCAATCTGGCCTTGCAATCAAAAAAAAAAAAAAAAAATCTTGTCAAGTTTTTTTTTTTTATGTATTTACTTATTGTGTGTGTTATATGTGTGGGCACTATGTGTGGGCACACAAGTGCATGTGGAGGTCAGAGGACAACTTGTGAGAGTCCGTTCTCTCCTTCTACCTTGTAAGTCCTAGGCATTGAATTCAGGTCATCAGGCTCAGTGGCAAGCACCTTCACCTGCTGAGCCACATTGCCAGCCTCTCTGATGTCAAGGTGAAGACATGCTGGGCTGAAGAAAACACTTGGGAGGTGTGTTCAGCCTGTGGCCAAAGTCGTGGTCTGGCCCTGAGGTGCTTAGGAGAGAATATCAGATCTGCCCTTTACGAGCTGGCCCAGCTGGCCTGGCTGGCCCACCCTCCTGTAGGAATGTGTGCTCCGGAGAGGAGAGGTCAGCACCCTACTGCAGCTACTATGCGGGCTGGACCTGGACAGGGATGCACCTTACCAGACAAAGAAGCCTTACGGATTGCAAGGATAATAGGGCGGTTTCTGGATTTGGGCTAAGCAGTAACAGGAGCTTCAGCTCCACTGAAGAACTGAAGTTGATTTACGAGTGCAGCAGAAGGGACAGGCACCATAACTAGACGTGAGTGCTTGTGTATATTGACCAAGATGGGGGTGGGGCACATGGCTCGACGGGAAAGGCAGGTGACCTCCAAGTCTGGTGCCCTTGGTTTAGCACCAGAACTCCCACGAAGGTGAAAGGAAGGAACTGACTCCATAAGTAGACCTCTGGCTTCCACTTGTGCACCCTGGTAAGGGTGCCCCCAATAAAATAAAGTTGTAAAAACTAAAAACAATGATCAGCCACCCAGTCTGCTGGGACTGCTGAACCTGCAAACACTTAATGTGACTAACCTCGGAAGAGACTCCCACATCTTGTCTTCAGCTCACCTATGTGGCTGGTTGCTGAATAGGGCTTTTGATACGGGCCCTGGGCTTGCTTGGTTTCACCTTCTACTCTTTTTTTTTAATGTCAATTCTGAGAGTTGAACTCAGGACTCCAGGCTTGCCTATCAAGTAGCGTTACCCATTGTGACATCTCTACAGACCCAGTTTGCGTGGTTTTCAAGACTGAAGATGTTGGGAAATGTACTTCTTTAGTTATATATTTGGTGGGGGGGGGCGTGAGTTTTTGTTTTTATTTGAAAGATTTGTTTATTTGTCTAAGTATTTTGTCTGCATGTAAGTATGTGCACTGTGTGTGTACCTGGTGTCCGAGGAGACAGGAAGGGGGCATCAGATCCCCTGGAGCTGGAGTTAAAGATCTTTATGAGCCACCGTGTGGGTGCTGGGAGTCAAATGCTGCTCCTCTACAAGGGCAGCAAGTGTCTTAACTGCTCAGCCATCGTTCCAGTCCCTATTTGTTAAAG